TTCTGTAACAATTTCTCTTAACTGTTCCCTATTCTGCATACAATTTTAGAGAGGATGGAGTGCCCCTCTCCTCAAAGAAGCAAGTTGCATTGCACAAAGAAAGCATGACAATTTGTTATCTGATAATGAAGAGAATCTGATAAATATACTTCCTACTAAAAATATCAAAATCCGTAACAGACTAACAAATGAATAATGAAAAATGTGTCTCCTTTTCAGATATCACTGCTTCAGGCTGACTGTAGATGGGGACTGGTCTTGGTATCTCTACCACTGTTTCTTGAGGTGACCCAAAATTCTAGAAAATATACTGGACCTTTTCTTAACTGCCAGGGATTCTGATACAAAGTTTGAAATATTTTATTTCCTGTACTGTCCTGTTTTAAGCAGGGATTCACATGAACTGCCCTGAAAGGAAAAATACTTGTACCTTCCTTCCAAGCTTATCCTGTCTGGCTTTGGAATGCTTTTTAATTAAGTGGTATCTTTTGTCACAGGTACAGATGACAAATTTACTGCCTAAAATACTGGTGATGAGGCAACCAGGGCAGATGCTGAGCCCAGCAGTGTCAAACATCATAGGTTTCAGTGCCTAAATTCCAGATGTAATTGCCTATCAAAGTAAGTCATCACCACTGCACCCACTACTGTTAGTTCTCACACTGTTCCTCTCACCTTCTTTTAGTGTCTAATTTTGGAACATGCGTTATGTTTAGAAGGACACTGAGTCCTTCTGGTGAGCTTACCAGTTTTAACTAGTAGTAACCTGCATTGATTTTGTGTTGGAGCATGAGCTGAATAAAACATAATTTTCATTTCCTACATGAAAAGCACTGGTTCACAGAATGCCTGTACAAGTTTTAATGCCTCTTGGATAAAAAGATTTCTTTAAAAAATTTGCAAAAGTATAATAGGTGCACATCAAAACATTTGTTACTTCTATCTCTTTGCCAAGGGGTAACAAGAGATAACTAAGCAAATTTCATGCCCATCCCACTCTGTTTCCTCACAGGGGAAAATATGCAGCGCAAGTGAATTTGTGCTCCTAAAATGGGCACCCTGCAAGAGAATTCAGCCTGGCATGTTGAAGAACAGTCAACAGTGACGTTTATATTAGAACAACAAAACTAGCCTAATTTGTCATAGTAAAAAAAAATCTATTATTTCTCTTCTGTCAAAGTGTATTTGATATCAGGGGCTCCCACATACCAATTAAACACCTCACTTCACTGAAGGTGAGAGCTATTCGTTGCTTTTGTACACTTGACTGGAAAAGAAGTCATTATGTACATAACAGCCACTATAAAATTGATGATGATTTAGCAAATATTGCATGAAAATTATAAAAATGAGAATAAAAATATTATTATGTACACATGTAGCTATAGTGAAGCCAAAAGAAGATTTAAGAATGGCGTAATTTTCTTCTTCTAGTAGTGTCAGTTTATGATCTTACAGAAATTTTGTGCCTTATGAAAGAAAAATTATCAACAGTTACTTGCAAACAGCAAGATCTTGCACAAACTTTTGAGTGTATAAAATCAAGCTTTGATATCTCAGTATTTTCCATGTATTTTTACTTCTATTTTTTTTCCTTCTCCAAGTCCAGAAACACAATGCAATTTATTGCTTCCACTGAATAAAGAAAAGGAAAAAAAATGTGCTTTTGAATAACATAAGTAATGCAGAAAATGGGACACATTCTGGTGGGAAACTCTCTGTTGTATAAATAAAATATAGGCAGCTATAAATATAATATGTAATACTCATTCCAAACCATAGTCACCTCTTAAGAAATAAACACTCGAGTCAAAGCAGGCTAACAGACTGGCAGTGCACTCCTGGCATTTGTCAGAAGCATTCGTCAGGCTGACAGTAATATTAACCACAATCCATTTCAGTTGCTTTGGTTTATCATTGTGTGACTGATGTTCAAAACAACGCCATAAGAAGCTGCTTAAATAAAGTGTTGGTTTAACCTATACACTGCAGTTCTTTAAATCTGTACTAACCGTGGACTTCTAGCTAATACATTAACAAAACTGTTATTCATATTTGACACTTTACAATACTTAACCTTAACTTGCAATTTCTCAAAAACTTACTTTTTAATTTTCTTAGGTACCAAAAAAAGTAAAAATATTGACCTGGCATCCTTTCTGCCAGACCAAAATCAAAGCTTTCCTTTTCTTTACTCAGTGGGAGCACTAAATTGTGATGCGTTTCTGGATGTGGATAAGGAAAAGAAATAAAGTAAAAGACTCTTAAAACCATGTAAAAAGTTAAATGAAATATCTTTAAATATTTTTAAAACCTTTAGCAGTGCAAAAGTATAGACATGCTACAATACATAATTAGCACTTATTTTGAAGCATTACCCCCAAGATACCAGTACTACAATGAAAATATCACAATACATGTGACATTCAAACATTTTCATAGTTGAATATTAGGAAGGTTTTTCAGATATTTGCCATGAATTCATCATCTGACACAAAGTTTAACATTTAAACTACATAGATTTGATACTACTAGAAATGCCTAAACAGTAACCAAAACTTGAACTGCTGTATCTGAGACAGGTATGGCATAAAGACTTCCATTGTGTATATGGAAAGGACTGGCATTCATCCAGAACAGCAGTTACATTTTCAGAGATCAAGATGCACTGTCTGATCAACAATATTTAACAGAACATAAGGGAAAATGCATGTTAAATACACATATATGTATGAATATTCACTATTCCCTAACAACAGGGGCAATTCTCTGCCGATCACCTGTTAAAGATTAAAAGCACCCAAGAATATCACGTTACAAGTTAAATAATATTAACGAAACCCCTTCTACTCATAATACAGTACGACCGACATCTAATATTGTAATAATTATCTCCTGTATTAAGTTCATAGTTTTCAAACATATGATTGAGAAGGTTAAATATAGATTAGAAACAACCTAAGTAATGGCCACTTGGTAATGTCCCTAAGTAATGTCCTCCCTCAGCAATGGAAAGACTCCCTCAGAGCTTAAAGTATACTTAGTAATCCTCAAAGACTACTTTCATGAACAGAGAAATCCATATAACCAGTCACTGTTAATAAAAAAAAAAGCATACAAAAAGAGTGGGTTTGCTATCCAATTTCTTGGATACTCTTGGAGGCAAGAGTGATACCTAACCTCAAATGAGGGAAAATTGCTCTACACTGCACTTAGTTCTATTTCAGGGTGGGGAAGAAAGACTAGGACTATAGCGCTGACTGAATTGACTTGTTTACAAATCAAAATACAATTAAAAGGAGATGCCTCGGAAGTATAGCAGCTGGAGAATCCTTTTTTTTGTCTTGAATTATTTCAACAATGACATGATATATGCAGAAGTGTCATTTAACAAAAGTTAATGGAGAATGAGATTGCAAAAATCATGTCATAATCAAAGAAGTTATTAATGATTAATACATTTAATTTATGTACTAATTCAGGCTACACAGAGTTGATGTTACTAGTAAGTTTTCAATTTTCACTTCAGTGTAATTCACAAGTGTAGTCTCAGTTGGTGATAGGTATTTTCAGTTGTAAACTACCTTCAGATATTTTTTGGCCTGGGGATTATTAAGAAAGCATTTATTAAATTCCACAACAAGAAATTATTTCAAAATTTTATTTACTCCAGAAAGATTTGTTAAAATATGTGTAGGTTTACCCATGAATATGGATTTGTGTCAGTCAGATATTCTGACAAAGCACAGAGTTCATGACTTATTCAAATTAAGTAACACTATTAGAAAATGTTACAATGACAGTACCTCAGTATCCCTCTGCTTTGGACTCAATAACATTATTCCTTTATTTTTATTTGCACATACATATACGCACACAAAAGGTACAGTACGGTCTTCAAATATATATACACATATATGTATATATACACACATACATATCCACATATATACATGTATATATATTTGATGATTACACAGTACCTTTTTTAAGGTTAAAATACTAAATCTGTAGTAGAAAAATTAATTTTCTAGAGATTTTCACAGACCTGTGTTTAGCTTAAACAATTGCAAACTGAAAGCAAGAACTTCCTTACTTCTCTGGGGATTTTTTTTCCTATCAAATTACCAATTTGTATGGAAGACTTTTGTAAAAAACAAGCCATAATTAAACTATGTTCTTTACCTTTTCCACTAATTAACTATATTGCTCCATGTGCCAATCATTTCCCATAATAGCTAGCTTTTAGAAAAAAAGATCCTGTTTGATAGTCAGTGCACCTAGTCTTTGTAGAGAAAATGAGAGATGCTTCTACTTTATAAAATGAAATATTCCTTTCTTGGAAAAGATTGAAAGAGAATAATCACATTCTATAAAGCTTTAAACAGGCTGTATAATATTGCATCTGCATATGTTTGTTTGGGAAAGAACCTTAGAAAAACAAGGCTACTCTGCCAGAAAGAAGTTGTTTGGAAAAGTTGTTAAAAACTGACAATGTCTGTCTGACAAAGGACAACTGCGTTACTTGAGCATACCTGAAGGGGATACACAGAGGAAGTGAAAAAATAAAGTTTCTACTTACGGGAATAAGGGCAATGATTTAAAAGTACTTAATATAATGGTATCACAGGCTTTGCTACTAAAAAAGCACAATTCTCATCAGAAAAACAGAAAATTATTTGGCTAATTTTTAATGTTTAGCAGCCTCAGCATTCCCAACTTCATTAAAATTTGAAACTAAATGTAATGCATATGCTCCAACTAAGACCACCTTCTTAGCAATTATTAAATTGATACAATCAGAAGCAATAAGAATACATCAATAATTCATTTTTCCACAATCTGATCCCTATTATCAGTATTCCCATATAGAAATGAAACACTGTTAATGGTTGTGCATTTAACATTAATGTATCAAACACAGCAGAAAACATTAACAAGACTGAAAGCTACTGTCATAAATACTGGAGAGAAAAAAAGGTGTATCTGATGACAAATACCTTTGACAAATCCCTGAAGTTGCTAGGAAGTGTAAGGTCCAACTCCTCTGATTCATAGTTGGTGATAACCCAAGGGAAGACAGGATACTGATTTAAATCATTGTAAGTTCGACCTGACAAACAACAGTAAAAAAACCCCGCTGCAAGTTAAAAGAGTTATATTTAACTAAAATACCAACCTCTAAAGATACAACAACATAACTTTACGAGCTCTTCAAAAGAACTGCAATTTATTTCAGATCTTTTATAATTTCAATATTCTACTTTGCTTTATTGAAAAGGACAATGAAAAAGTTCACAAGCTGCTAGCAGTTAATTTAAACCACTGCAGCCCATTTCACTTTAATTGTAAACTCTTTTGCATACAGTAATAGTGACAGTTAAATCTATTCATTTCCTATGCATTTCTCCTTTCCTTGTTTATGCCATCTTGTTTTTTGTTTCTTTAAGGTGAAACGTTTCCAAAAATGGAGAGGCAATGACTTTTGTTGATACTAAAAATTAAAGCAATATTTTTACATACTGTATGAAATTCAGTATGTGAAAGCAGAATGAAGCAGCTCAGGATTTTAGATTGAGAAATTATGCGAGTAATAACCATTTCATCTAGAGAATTCACTTTGAGGGGAATTCTTCCTTGACCATTGACCATCTATGGATATGCCAACATTTACCAGAACAGAAAATCTGTTCTGGTTTCAGGTTCATACGTGCACCTTCATGCATCTGTAAGATGGAAATAATATTCTTCTTCCAGTAAAACCAAAATATTCAATTAGAACAATCATATACTATTCATACACATACAACACATACCCTGGTTTATAATTTTAAAATGCATAATTTTTACATGCAACCTGTCTCTTTTTATGATATTGTTGCAGAAGCTCATTCATTCACATCACCTCCAATCAGTATGTTCTCAGATTTTGTCTAGCCTGGTCTTAAAAGTCTCAAAGGACAGGTTTTTACTTCTTCCCCAGGAATATTATTTCACAACCAAATCTATCAGGTTGTCAGAAAACATTTTCTAAAATTCCACCTAAGTTTTTCTTTTTAGGGTTTTCTTACACCATTCAGTATTTTTCCATCCTGGTTCGCAGAATTTTTAAATGGTATAGTCAGATCCTTTCTTTCCCTCATCAGTTGGTTATGTTGCACATTATCTCTTATTCAGGATTAAGGCTACTTACATGACACTGTGATGTCTATCTTTATTTGTTTCAAATTTATAACCATCACAACAATCTTTTAACTCTCCATCATGGGCAACCAAATTTTCCCTTTTTCCATAATGTTATCTTTTTGTTCCTTTTAACCTCAAATACCAAGTAGGTAAGAATTCACTTTATTATTTCAATAATATATTAAAGCTGAAAAGGATAATTCACAAGAGCCACAGAAAACAGTGTCATGATCTTGCCTCATTCCACTTTCACAGTAAGGAGGCAAGCAGATCTACCCCTACTTTTATAAAATCTGCCAGCATCCTGGCATCTCTGACTTAATGACTGATTACAGAAACTAGCAAAACTGACCATTTGTATAAAGTGTAATTAGTGCAAGCAGAGGCATTTGTTATATCAGTCATCTTAGCAAGAGCCAAGTCTGAAAGGGAATTAACGGACCTTTCAACACTGTCAATACCACAGAAAAGAGCTAAAAATTGAGAAATTTTTTAAGTTGCTCAGAGAACAAAATACATTGGAAAATAAAAGACAGGTCATGAGACCTAACAGCCTCCATTAACTAAACTGAAGTCAAGTTGGTTAGAAGCTAGTGGGGTAAGATGCGCTAAATGAAATATAGCTTATTATATTTACAGAATGAGGGGTTAGGACAACCATACAGGGGTATGAATTAGGATTTGGGAATGGATGAATGGTGTGTCCTGGCACAGCAGCGCTGGTGATCCAGGCGCTACACTCTTTTCCAAGACCAATCATACATCTTGTAACAGTAATATTTATTGGCTCCAGGAATATCCTGCTCCCCAGCTGAGACTTCCCAGAGGGTTCCAGCCCTACACAGAACTTGTTGCATCAGTGGTATTTAGGGAGGACAGTACTTATGAATATTGAAACTTAGAACACTAAGGGATAAAGAAGTTACTGTTTCTGAGATTCTCCTAAATAGCAGACAGTCTAGGTAGAACCTGTCCTCCCACAATAGTCAAGATATTCTGACTTTAGAGATGTATTTTAAGTGCAGTTCAGTACAGCATTATTAATTGCATGCCTCTCTATTCTTACATAAACATAAAAATAATTATGAATATAGTACGTTTAGGAGGATTATGTGAAGTTGTTCTTCAGGAGAAAATTGTACATAGAAAAAGTTCTTTATTAAAAGGGCAAAATCTAGTAGTGTCCCATGTCTGTTGAGACTGTGCCACCATTAACGCCTTTTCCGAGTCATTATAGTAATTTGTGTTACCTGCTATAGTGTTTAGAAACATCAGGTATTCAAAGTTGGAAATTTCTCGGTGTTGCCATCGCTGGGTCATATTGGAAGCTTTGAAAATCTGTCGTGGACTAGCCAAAGAAATGCGTCTGGAAAAAAAAAATTGGAAAAAACAATGAGAAAACCTGGTGGGTCTTCCTTTTTGCCTATCTAAATTTTAGTGGCAGTCGTATATATTCTTTTTACTAGTTCTATGCCAGATTTCTCTGGAGGTGGAATTGCTATTTTGGATACTTGAAGTTCGTTTTTAAAGTTTTATAATCTAATAAGAACAAAAGACTTTAAACATCTGACAGCTGGATATGTCAAGATTTGAAAGCTTTCAAACAGAAACCTTTACAGCTGTGCAAATTCAGCTGCTCCATGAAGGCTTGATGTATTACAGAAATATGTTACTAGTGATTTAGAGAGACGGCAGACCATTAAATAAGAAAATTACATGACTTTTAGAATTTCACATAAGAATAAAGTAATCTTTTAGGAGAGATTTTTAAATCCCTCAAGAACAAAGGAAAATAATGATAAGATGATAGAACTTCATTACGAAGTCCATCCTCTTGAGATTTAAATTCTGGGCAGTGTTGGAGAGTTAGTCATAAATAACTCAATTAAACTTTTAGAATTTGATGCCAGATTTCCTAATGTTTGTGAGAGAAGACTATAGAGTCATTCCTTGGAGTGATAAATCAAGCAGAGAAGAGCTTATCACAAAATTCCCAAGACTGTCTTGTTCATAATAAAAACATCTGTAAATACCAGAACTACATCATTTAGGGGGTGAAAAAATCTAAATATAATTTTAGTTAACAAATCTTTACAGGTATTGGTAAACAATTAAAGAAAACAGTTACAGTAATGGAGTATTTTTTTATTTTAATAAACTGCATTATATTGTAAACAAATTTATCAGTATAAATAGATGTGAAATTTTGAACAAATGTGTCTATACTTTCATGTGTATTTAAAATTTTCATACATAATTTGCTTCTGTAACTAGAAATCCTTAAGTTCTTACAGAAGTGGCTACAATTGCAATTCAAGAGAATTTTTTCTGGACTTGATTAAAAAAAAGGTAAACTATAAAACACAACAGGAAACATCCCCAACTATTTTGATGCCATTTCTGTGCACAGAAATCTTTAAAAAATAAAAATTTAAAGTAATGACAATCAAGTTACTCCTTAAGGGTTGCTGTTTCTTCTAACAATTTAGAAATTAATCTACTTAAAAATAGTTTATAATTCATTAAAATACAAGAGGTAACCAATCCAACTACAGATGGGGTATACCTCAAGAGCTTCTATTTCCATCAGCCTCAGTGAACATGAAACTGTGCTGCTGTGTTTCATCCAGAGCATATCTGGTAATCAAGCCCTAATCTTCTGCTAAAAAAGATGCAGCAAACTGAATCATATTCTTCAGTTTTAGGATCCAAACACACAGTCTGACACTGTAATACTGATTTCCCACCATGTAAAATTTGAACAATGTCCTCCAGAGCTAAAAGACAAGCACACCATACCAATCCTTCACATGCTGTTCAGCTTATATTGTTCTACACATCACTACAATATCCTTCTGATGAGGAATGATCATTTTCATCTACGTTTAAATACTACAGAGGATTCAAGGATGTTACAGTCAAGCTAATATAATTGAACACTGCCATAAAAGCTAATCAGTCCTACAACCAGTCTTAAATCAGTCTTAAATTTTAGTGAGTTGGCAAGCATAAAGAAACCTATTTTCCTTACGTAGGGTAAGTGATTGAGTCTCACTACCGAAAAGAAGCTATCTTCCCTATAACAGACAGAAATCACAAAAAAATCTCGAATCCAAAAGTTTTTATTACACAAACACACTGCAAATAGCATGCAGAAGTGATAGGCTGAGGATGTGCATGTTTTGTAAACCAGTAGGTGTAAATGCTTCAAACCATGGTTTGAAGCATTTTTTAAACTAGGCTGGTTTGATGAAAAAAGAACTCTTAGAAAGACGGATAAAATTAAATCAAATTGTAAAATACCTGGTCTGGGGTAGTCCAAAGATAGTACCAATACCAACCCGAGGCAGACAGTTAACCACTTTCTTTACTGTTGCTTGGTCAGGGAAGTTGAACATGACACCCACTGTGAACACAAGAGTTGAAGTACGGCATGATTTTACACCTTTTATTTTAGGCTTTCTGGCCCAATAAAATTTAACCTTAAGCTTAGGTGTTGAACAGGTAAAAGATTAGACATATTTCCTTCAGGCTACTATAGATATATTTTTTTATAATTTCCAGAACTGGTTTTATTTACCACTAACAGGAATTTCAACAGAAGTTGTTACTGTTACAAAACTTACAAGGTCTGCATTTGTTTTCCTTTCTAAATAGAAGTTAAACTTATATGCACAGATTGACTGTCTAGAACTGATTAAAAAAAAAAAATTATATATTAATTGGATCACACATTTACTAGTCTACTTTCTAGATATTTTCAAGATATATTCGTCAAAATATTATCTACATATTTTGTTTGAAACATTCAATGACACTTATGAAATAGCAACCTAAAAATCTAAATATGGTATCACCAGCAGACATTTATGACTTCACAGAGTACAACTACAGGCTTCAAAATAGGAAAGTGTTTATGCACATGGTTAATATTCTATTGGACAATATGCACTTCAGATATGTGCAACAATGCTCTGCGATATGTGTCTGAATACTTACCAGCCATGTTCATGTTTTAAGCTCAGACAAAAACTTTTTGACTAGCATACTAACTGCATAAAACATGTTATCCTATGAAACATTTACTGATTTCAGGACAAGAACGTTTCATGTTATTACCAAAACAATGTTTTACATTTTGAAAGTGTCATCTTAAGACCTACTTTATTTGGTGTCTTTGTAACAGTTTTCAAAATTTGTTTTTCAAAATTTCATTATCAGTATAAAAGCACTAAAAGTACCTGAAGAATCTTAGTTTAAACTGCAAAGACATCATATAACCTGGTTTAAAATAAAATGTAGGGGAAGAAAATAGCAGAAGAAAGTTCTGCCAAATCTCAGTGCACTATATTCTGAGTGACTTGTCACAGTACGTATGTGTGTCTGAAAAAGGAACTGAAGAAAGGGGAGGGTGAAAAAAAGGTTCATAAACAAGATAAATCCACATTTATTTCTTAGAGTTGCACTAGGGTCTAACTGAAATAAATTATTAATAGAAATAAAGCATGAAGATATACCAGTCGCTGGTCTAATCCAGTAGTGAAGTTCTTTCATTATGTTGTTCTTGGTGTGTATAACTAACAACTATTAACTGTCCGAAGGGACAAAAAAAACCCTTCATGCATAACAGACCAGAGATAGGTATGCCTTAAGCAAGCGTTTCCAGAGAATGCCAAATAAACGTGTGGATATAAATGAAAGTGAAGCACTGGTAATTCCCAGTTATCATGTTTGATCATAACTCCTCATTGGAAAAAAAAATGAAAAGGAGAAACTAAATTACAAAAATACACTAACTTAAATATTGAGACACTTAATCCAAGCTCTTCTGCTATCTACACAAATCCATACCAAAAAAGACGTGACTAAGCAGCCAAACAGAATGCACATGTCCCCAGATCAACACTTGCCATTCCTCTAAACTCACAGTACCTCTATTTGCCATGAATATCTCCAGTGCTGTATTTTGCAAAAGATAACGTCGGGAAAAGATAGATCGAATCTCTGAAAAGAGCCATTTTCCATGGAGTCCTTCTGTATATGCCAGAATCTAGTAGAAAGAGACAGAGACTGTTTAAATATGTTGTCAGTATAGGTAACATCTTGTAAAAGAGAAACTGTTTGACCCACAAACATGGATTCTACCAATTACATGCAAAACCTGCAGCAAAATTAAAATATGCTCAAACTTCAAATCATGCTATGAATCTATAATGGATTTTTTGAAGTCCTAAATTCAACTACTCATGTCAAGGATTTTTAAAATTTGCTTGTATTTTTTCCTTTAAAGACAACTGCCTATTTTCCATAACCAAGGGAGTTTCAGAAACATTATGAAATGTTTGGCACTTCAGCAAAGCATAAAAACATATTCTGAAATGTATTACTAGTGCCATTAGATGTATCTGCACTCACTTTTGCATTGTAATAACAGACCTGTAACAAATAAGCAAGAAAAAACATCTTTAAAGAAAAAAATGTTACTTAGATTTATCATTAAGGCAACATTCATTAATTCTGGAACTATAAAGGTTGGCTGTATAAGAGGTTAAGTATCATTTTGTCAGCTAAGGTTAAACACAAACCTGCAAATGAACTCAGCATAATCTCTCTATGGAGTAAGCGGTTGTCAAAGTAACTTGTTACAATTCCTGTCATCCCATCTGACAGACACAGATGCTTAGTCTGCCTTCACAATTCAAACTAATCCCATTTTCAGTCCTCAGCCACTTTGTTTCTTTGTTATTTCACTTTTTCCTTTTCATTTCAAAGCTTAATTATGTAAGTGTAAAGGGACAGCTAGATTGGACATGTCTCTGCCTCAGATTAACAAACCGTAAGCGAAGAAAAATCTGAGATTTGTCAATTTTAGCAAACAAAAGCACTTAGCAGAAATACATCACAGAAAAGCAGATTCAGATACAATCCTAGTTAACATCACTCTTACTACAATTTCACTTGAGCAATATATTATGTATAAAAAAGTGAAATTCGAGCCTTTAACACAACAGTGTTAATGAACACAATCATTTGTTTATACATTTTTAACAAAGGAGGATTTTGCCTCACATGTAGCATAGATTCACAAATAGTCTGCATTTTTGTAGCACAGACAGCAGAACACCATTATAAAAGCACTACACAATACAGTATAAAATACTGTACCACCTTTGTGAATCAAAAGCAAACAAGACTGGCAAACCAAAAGCAGATAGCACAGAAGATCAGAACGTACAAAGCAAACCATCTCTGACACCATCTTTCTTTTTACTTAATCCCTCATCTTCCCCTCAATACAAGTGCCACAGACAACTTCTCTCCCAACACTCCCCCCCCCGAAACAGAAGGAAAAAATGACTAATTATTCCGATACAAAACTCTAGAAACGCAATGAAAGGACCAGAGATTGTCAATGGTTGAAAATCATTTCTGGAACTGGGGAACTAACAGACTTGCGCCACGCTGACACTTTCCATACCACATCCATAACCCATCGACACTAATTGGCAGATTTGTATAATTCTATGGTGCTATTCAGAACCACCGCGGCTGGCTTTTGTCACATGCATATAAATATCCTTTAAAAAGCACAACATCAAAAGAGGTAACAAAGGAGACAAAGTTGCAGTGCTTGTGTACAAAAATCTCTTAGTACTTTTGCTGGTATTCATCCGTCTTACGATCTTTAAACTGGAACTTATACTTTCAGTGATTATTTTTTGAGACAGACAGGAATGTGGTGACCTCCGCTTTTCTGTAGTAACAATTAAAACACAACAGCCTGCTTGTCACTATCAGTCTGTGCATTGCAAACTCAAACACTTATTACATGGATACTGTGAGTAAAATCAGCAAGTGAAATAATTAAGTATTACTTTTACCCTGTGAAGCGAGCATTTTTTGTGACAGCGGAAACCCTGCACACGGCCAAAAGCTTGCTGCTTGCATCTTCTTCAAAATTGGAAGGAAAAGCACCAACTTGAACATAGCAGAGGTGGTTTACATTGTGCACCTTGTACAGCCATGATAAAGTTACTGAATTCAGCATAACAGGATTTACAGCAGATAACTGGAACTGCACTGCAGAAACACTACCAGTCACCGCTACAACATTTCTTTAAACCACTCATTAACAGAAGTTATCAGGAGTGAGAAGCAGCTGAGGCCTAGCTGAGCCAGGCCTTCATTTCGAGTTGGAATAGTGTCTGCGTGGTCTGCAGCTTCACTTCAAAGTCTCTGGAGTTCAATTAAAACTGGATTAGGTGGAAGCAGACCTTCTTTGGGACACTGTTCTCTGAAACTCCAGGCACGCTGACAGCACCCCAGACAGCTAGGTCTAGCCCGCCAATGAACCAGTTGCTATGGAAACTGCATCATTACCACTGCTCCGCGCTCATCACACCACCTATAGTAGATGAAAGGTCCAGAAGACAAACACATTTCTTTCATGTGTATTACTAAGTATTCCTTATGAAAATCCAATTCAACCTTTTATTCCCTGTCAAATATCTGATTTTATTAATAGAACCTCCTAGTTGCAGAAACTGACTCATACTTCAAATTAAATTCAGCATTTTTATTCTGGCAAAGGGATTTTTTTTTTTCTTTTTTTTAATCAGTGTTACGACTTCTGATATTATCAGAATTACGACTTTCAAAAACTATTTTTGCATTTGCCTGTTTTCACCCATAAGCCACACAACACAGAATTCTACTTAATAATTTAAGAACAACTGTCTTCTTCATACTATTGTACAGTATGTTGAGTTTAAAAACGACTCACTTGTTTCTGTCTTTTGTCACCGCCAGTTTTGGAACAACTTGTGGAGCAAAGACTAATGAGGGTGTACAATCTAATTTAATCTGCACAAATAGTACCACCTTCTCCACATGAAAAAAAGTATAGAATTTTAGTTGATTCGACTCATCAGATTGAAGTTTAATCTACTGTACATTTCATTTATTTCAAAAGATACTGCACCTTACAGGAGGAAAGACAATTTATACAGTTTACCATTTCATTTAAAAATACTTAAAATAAACAAATGAGCCAATTGCAAAGTTCTACGGTTCCAAAAATCTCATTAGACAAACCGTTCTGTGATTAGACTTTGGCAACACCAGATGAACAGATGGCATGACAACACTACTAAAAATACAAAATTACATCCACCTTTGCATGAAGTCCCTTCTTTACTTCAAGTAATAGAAATGAAGGTCTAAACCTGTAATCAGTCCTCATCCTCATGCTGCAGGCCCTGACACTGCACGGCTGGAAGAAACTCCCCAAGAAACTAGTAAGTAAAGAATAGCCAGCTTCAATTTCCACTTTGAGGAGATTCTGAAATCAGAGTTGCATGAAAACTCAGGTAGCATAGTGCTGATCACGAATTAAGATCATAAAGGGAGAAGTCCTCTCCTCAAGAATCCTCAAGAATCTCCTCAAGAATTAGTTGTGTATCAGCTAATTTCCCAACGTTAAAATGCTCACTTGGAAGCTATTCTGTCATTTTACAGTTTTGAAAACAAATGCCCCACTCTACCTTTTCTTCTAAACCCTCGTTGAATGTTAATCATAAACAATGTCTCTCATAAAAGATTACATGCAATAGTTAAAAGATACCATTGCTACAGCTGCCTCCTGAATTAGAAAAGTAATATTTTACTGAAGACTAAATGAACATTTTGCTTTACCTTTTAAGCAAACCAATCAGCTATTGTATATTTTATTTTATTTTAGAGTACTATTGATCTCGAAAATGTGAATAGGCTAGAAGTAATTAAGTCTGCAAATGGGTTATAGAACTGAAACGGTAATTGAATAATTATATTACTTTAATGTGCCAGCCAATTTAACTGCCATGAGTAAAATAAAAACTAAATAGCTTATTTAAAAAGCTGATGCACATTTGTGTATTCCCGAAATAAGTTATGATGTACCAGAAAAAAAAAAAACAAACCAAAACACCAAATAAAAAAAATAAAGCATTTAATTTGCATTTAAATTTGATTGCAGTTGAGAGATAAAATCCATAAATACATTTTCTAGCAGCATTCTCTGTCATTTGGGGTCATTTTTGTTCAGGAAGACAAAATTACAGCACTTACAGGTTACAAAACCTGATTCTCAGTTCATGAGGAACCTGGATCTCTACCTGGACCTCAGCCCTGCAACTGAGAATCCTCAGATCCTATTGTCCAGGTATTATTTAGTTCCTGGCTGCAGGATTCACAGTGAAAGGGTCTTACTCTGCTCTTTGTTTAAATACATCCAAGTACAACCGAACTAATAGGGAATTAGATCAGATTATTATTTTTAAATATCTAAATGCTCTTAAATAAATCACAGTGCTTACTAGTTTATTTTAGATTTCTCAAGAGAACAACGAATAAGGTTTTCACTTTAAATCTCAGATATTTATACAGTCAGCCACTGAAATCCACAGGCAAAGAGTAGTAGTCTCCCATCCAGTCCCTCCTGTGAGCACACAGTCTGCTATACAATCCTGTTCAGCATTTTCATGGGTGACAAACTCAATTAAACATATTCATTACTTTAATGTTCCACTAGACAGTTTTACCCAGCATAAAAAATTTAAATAAATAAATAAATACTCTGTGACCTTTGCATCGATCAGAGCAAAATGGCTTATGCCTGGGTGTGGGTGGTGAAGGGATTGGGGAGGGGGGTGGTAAAGGACTCTTATGTTTTCTCTTCCAATTACTGGAGGAGATGATAAAACCACAGCAAATGATGTATCAGCTCATTTTATCTTATCGCTTTGGGGCTAGGTGACAATGAAGTTCATATTTCACTGGTTCCCATTGAAGATTGTGAAAATTACTTGCCCTTATGACCTGAAATTTCACTGGAAGACAGAAATTTCTCTTCTGCAAAGTAATGCAATTTTTCAGATGTCAACCTTTAGCCCAGCTTTAAAAATTAATTTCATTTATATTAACCAATGATATTGATATTTTCACAGAATGCTCTTTGATACATGAACCACCAACTAGCAAATTGATGTGCTTTAGAAGGATAAAATTATT